GAAGATAAAGGTAGATTGTAATCTTGAGAGTAATCTTGAGAAACAGGGAGATTCTCCCTAGTAATTATCACCCCCTAGTAATTATCATTGGTATAGGAACTAGCTGATTATGACCTTGAGAATGATCTTGAGAGGCAGGGAGTTGCCCCCTTGTAATTATCACTGGAATTTTCGGAATTTTCTGTGACACCCTCTCTGCCCCCCTTTCGGATTACTGGGCTGCGTGGTTTCTTCCTATAAAAACTACTTCTCCCGGTCACTCAGGGTCGAACTCTTCCCCTGCGTGGGTTATGAGTCTCGGCCCCAGTGCACTGGTCCCCGTCTTGTCGTCTTGTCATTAAACCTTGTGTGATTGCAGCAAGGATGGTCTCTCGTGAGTTACTGGGGGGGGTTGCGTCATCCCGAGGCTTGAGTGAGAGTCTCCCCAAATCGGGGGTCTTTCAGTGCAAAGAAAAAGGCATGCCTGTCTTCCAGAAGGAACAGTTCACACTAGACTAGATGGTATCCTGTCCTTGGACACAAGACTTGATGTTACCCTCTTGGGTAGGTGCTTCTGCCTCATATCCAAGCTGTGCTGTCTCCCTCCAGGGCTCCCATAAAGCCACTGTGAACCAGCCCACACTGCCAGTGCCCGTGCCTTGAAGTTAGGGCCTAGAATCCCAGCCTTACCCCTGTAAGACACAGAGAAAACAAGGAAGTCTGAGGCCTACTCCCTGGCCCAGGTTTCCTGCAATGCTCCTCAGTGGTGATGAGTAACAGTACCACCCTCCCCCAAACTCCAGTCCTCAGCACAACCCGCCATCTTGTCTTGGGACACCTGGCACAGTGGTTCTACCAGCGCACACCAGTCCCTAGGACGTCCGAATCCTCTAGCTGCAATAGAGCCATGCGCAGGACAGAAACCTCCCCTCCAGGTCGCCCCGAGTTCACTTCTCCCATCTCGCCCAGGGAAAAGAGAAAATTCAGCTCGCATCTCCTTCCTCAGTCCCCTGAGATCAGCTCTCACAAACAATTGCTCTGGTGAAAACGCTCATCTCAGCGAGGATAAACAAATACCGCAATTCGTTGCTTTCCTGCGGAGTTCAGAAACATCGCTCCTGTCCTTGGAAAACAGGAGACTTAGAGGCCTCAGCTCGAGTTGGACCGTTTACGAAAACATACACACTGCGCTAACCAGATACTTATCCAAACCTCAAATCACTACTCAGACTAAAGATGGCTTCCAAACAGCATGCTTGTGTATATTTTTGTACATAACCAGACCCGTGATGCAGATCCCCCAGGGTACCACCCAGATGAATTCACGTCACTGCCTTCTTTGTGAGAGCCCAACTCTTGCACATCCCTCAGAAATTTAGATGTAATGACACTGGCTCCAAGGACATGTCACGCACTGCTGGAAGCCAAAGGGAGTTCCCTCAGGGCAGAGTCTAGTCTCCCTTCTCCCTCCTTGCTCAACTTCGTGGCTTTCCCCATCTTCCTGGGCATCTGACTGAAGCCTCCATGCTACTTATGTAGACTGAGGAGTCTCAGAGCGTCCGGAAGAGCCAGTGATGGGCAACAGCACCTTCTACGTCAGACATTTGTTCAACTTCTCAAAGGCTCACCTGGCTGGCTCAGAGCTGGTCCCCGCTGCCTACCTCGCTCACCTTTCCCATACACTCTGATGTCCTGCTGGTCCTCCCTATGCTCCCGAAATTCAGGCTTGCCTCTCACAGCACGCATGGCTTTGCACAGACACGGGAAGGAGGGTTGTCTTGGTCCTTTCTCAGCTCTCATGACTCACCAATGGAAACCAGAGCCCTAGGTTCACGCCTGACTCAGCTCAGAATTTGGAACACCCTGAATGACCTTCTTCCCCTCCTTGCCATCTCTAAAACCGGCAGCTAGTGCCCCACAGGTGGAGAGCTTGAAGACATGATAGAAACGAGCCTCCTCCTCCACGTCAGCTGCTATCTGTGTGCAGCCTAGAGTATAGACCCTTACCTGTGGGAGCTTCTAAGTCCTCTCAAGAAGAGGAATCTTGAGGATCTACTGAGACCCTCCAGGCAGGTAGGTAGCACCTGCTGCTGGCATCTCAGCCACCTTCGTTGGCACCTTCCTACTCAGAATGTTAGACCCAATCATCTGCAATCCATCCAATTGTTGGCTTACCCCAAATGTACTTTCTGTCACCCCTCAGAGCTAAGACCCTCAATGCTTATGTTACAGTATGATAGACCTGGTGTTTGGGGACAACAAACTGCTTTGCTTTTAGTTGGACCCTAAGGTCTTGAACATGCTCAAAGACTAAGTAAGGTATGGCCTCAGCTCATTAAAGCGGCAACTTCCCCCAGGACCCATTCTCCATGGCGATGGAAGGCTGAGCACAGGGCTCCATCAGTCTGAAGATTCGCTGCTCGAAAGCATGTCTTCTGAAGCTTCCGGTGCAGAAGACTAGACCCAGATGACCCCCATTTCTCTCCTGATACAGAGAAGAAGAAAGTGCACAGAGATCCAAGCTCCTGTTGGCCAGCAGTAGCCCATGTGGCATGAGCTATCTTGCAGGAGTTTGGGTTGGGATCCAGAACCACCCCTGGGCATGTTGATGTACTTGTCTCACCTGGCCTCTAATCTCACCTCCAAGCCAGGCTGTTTTACAAGCTGCTGTCAGAAGGAGCCCCATAAAGTGCACATGCAGTGTGCTTGGACCGCTCTTGCTCAGTTCCCATTGCTTTCTGGATAGGTTTCAGGCAACAAGCAAGTCTGTTCATGACCTGGGCCCCACAGGCCTTTCTGCCCTCCCCACCACTCCCTCCTGCCCTGAGTTCACACTGCTGTGACTGACTGTTTGGGTTCCTCCCACCCACCAGGCTGCAGCTTGTCACCTGCCCTTCCTTATGCCAGGAAAAGCTCTTTGGGGTTCTTCTGCCAAATGCTGTCTCCTTTGGCAAGCTTTCCACTGGCTCCTTAGGTGAATTTGGATGCCCATCCCTGGGCTTCAAAGGACTCGGCTGGGCTCCCTGTGACACATGAGATTTCACAATATGCGGTTACTGTCCTTAAGTCCCAGACACAAGCAGGGAGCCTGGAGAGCTGGTGTGGGAAGTCCTTCCATCTATGTGTTGCTTTTATTGATTAATGAATAAAGCTGTTTCGGCCAGTGACTTAGCAGAATAGAGAGAGGCAGGAAAACTAAACTGAATGCTGGGAGAAAGAAGGTAGAGTCAAAGAGAAGCCATGTAACCTTTGCTGGGGACAGATGCCTCTGCTGGAACCCTCTGAAACTTTGCCAGTAGTCCATGACCTCGTGGTGATGCACAGATTAATGGAGATGGGTTAGTTTAGGATATAAGAGCAAGCTAGAAATATGCTGAAGCTATTGGACAAAAAGTATCACAAATAATATGGTTTCTGTGTGATTATTTTCAGGGCCAAGCAACTGGGAACAAACTAAGAGCTTCTCAATTGCAGAGAGCTAAGGCAGCTCCCTCCTCAGTATGTATTGTCTATGGTATCACGTAGTCGTCATAGAAAGAAGACTCTGTGGCTAAGAGAACTTACTATTCTTTCAACAGACCCAAATTCAGTTTCCAGCACCCACATTGGACAATGGCAACTGCCTGGAACTCCAGCTCCAGGGGATCTGGCACCCTCTTCTGGCCCCTGTCAGCACTACACCCAGGTGCATAGACACACACACACATCCACATATACACATAATTTAAAATACAATCTTTTAGAAGACGTGTTTATTTTGTTTTAAGTGTATGACTGTCTTGCCTGTATGTATTTATACATACATGTACCACAATGTACCACATTGGTGCCTGTGGATTCCAGAAGAAGGTGTTGGATCTTTAGGAAGTGGAGTTATAGAAGGCTGCCACCACGTGGGCACTGGGAACCGAACCTGAGTCTTCTGCAAGAGTATCAAGTGTTCTTTGTCACCGAGACATCTCTCCACTCTTTAGAATAAGTCTTAAAACTCAGTAATGATTAAGGGCACCAGAAATAGCTCAGTGGTTAAGAATACTAGCCGCTCTTCCGGAGGACCTGGGTCTAATTCCCAGCACCCACAAGTGCACTCACACATGTCTGTAACTTGGGTTGTAGGGTGTCTGACACCCTCTCTGGCCTCTGAGGATACTAGGCACACACACCGTACACACATACTCATTACCAAATCCTCCACTGCTTGGCCCTGGATCTCTGCCTAGGGATGGAGAAGGAGTGATGGAAAGACAAGCTGAAAAACCGATAGGCATGCACACAGACATGGGGTCAGGTAAGCTGTGGGTGCGCTGATGGAGTCTACTGACTACTGCCACAACCCAGACTCTCATAACATTTACTGTTTACAGCAAGGGGAGGGGTTAGCTAGACTTGGTCTTGGGTGTCTTTAGGCAAGTTGTCTCAGACTGTAAATATGGGAGGAGGAACTGCAGGTTGCTAGTTTTTGTACACAAAGGTTAATTATTCCTAAACACTCATATGTTTGGATAGAGGAAGGTTTTGTCTTTCTAAACCTGACGGCGGCAGGAGAGGGTGTGGGGGGAGATATGGACATGACTTTGCCAATTTCCCATAGATCTGATTTTTTCTTGGCTCTTGACATGGCCAACTAATATCAGACAAAACACACTTTCTCAGGACTTCACCCACTCCGTACAACACATGCAAGAAAAACACCCATAAACATAATAAATAGTTTTAAAATGATTAATACTAAATTTTCCAAAGTAAACACCCTATTTGAGCCCCTGTTTTCTTTCTTATCCCTCATCTGCCCCCAAGCTGACCTCCCCCTGATTCTCCTGTATAGAACCAGCCTGTGGGGGTGCTGGTCTTCTCATTCTCAGGAAGACAAACCTTCAGAGCGTACTTCCACGCCCGCCTTTCCAATGAGGTCCACTCATGTCCACTTGTCTCCAGTTAATCCGCTCGGAATCCCTCAGTGATTATGCCATCAGCAGGTCAGAGCCCTAATCTCAGGAGGCACCCCACGGATGTATTCAGGGGTGTCATCTTAACCTTTTAAGTATCTCTGAATGCGATCAAAATTTTAACCAAGACTGACTGTGTCAGATGATGGGTGCCGACGAGAAAATCGGAAATCTGCCACCTCACGTGGGTACTGAGAACCGAACTTGGGTTCTCTGGGAGAGCGACAAGGATCCTTAGCCCCTGAGCCCTCTCTCCAGCCTCAAGGGCTTAATTCTTGCTCATTCTCCAGCCTGGTGCTATGTTGTTCAGACACCCAAATCCCTAGTCCTGTGGTTTTTCTATTTACAGGGAACTCCGCATCCTTCCTATCAAGCATGCAGGCATGAGGAAAGGGAAAGCACGGGGGCTTTTTGTTTGTTTGTTTGTTTTTGTTTTGTTTTGTTTTAAAGATCTTCCTAGCCTCTTGTCCCAAGAGCATCACTTTTGTCATGATCAAGGGGGCATGGGGAATCAGTCACATAATCACCTCTGAACCCCAGGGAACCTAGGTGAGTGGCTGCCTCCAGCCATACTATGACAGGCCCACAGCCACCTCCGCCTCTTGGTAGACAGATATCTGGCAGTGTAAGGGTTCATGAGGAGGCAGGAGTGACTGGGAAGAGGGAGCCAGGAGCATCCAGCAGGCTATAAAGTAGCATGGTTGGTGGAGGGCTGGCAGAGGGTTCTGCAGCTCACTCTAAGGATTTGGGGTATTTCTCTGAACTGTGATGCCTTTTGTTGGCTTTGATCATTGCTGGTGGGAAGAAGAGTCTTTGGGGGCCAAGAGAAGACCCAGATAAGGAGTTGCTACAGGGAGATGGATGTGTGGGAGAACAGTGTGGCACCTACCCTCTGTGAGAGCTAAGCCTGGTAATCGACTTGACTACATCTGGAATTGACTGAAATCAAGCAGCTGTGCATGGACAATTTTTTTGTCTTAACAGATCATGTGAGGTGGGAAGACCCATAATAAAGCTGGACCACACTTTTTGGTGGCAATCCACATTGGATGACAAGGAGAAAGAAAGCTTCTGCTTTTTGCCTGTTTGCCCTCAGCCTCGTTGGCTGGTTCATCTATCCTGTCGCCGAAGTGTTCCCTCATTTAGTGTTGGAACGCATTTCCTCAGGATTCCAGTTTAGGCTGAAGATCAGCAGCTGTCTGGGATCCTCTGAACCCCTAGCTCCAGACTAGGACGGCTGAGACCTCCAGTCTCATGGACTGAACAATAACTGGATTCTTGGCCTTTCTGTCAGAAGACAGCCATTGTAGGATGTGTTAGACAACAACCGGTAAGCCACTACAATAAATCACCATTTAATGTATATGTATTCAGTCCATCAGTTTTGCTCTTTTAGAGAACACTGATTAATACACCTTCCCACAGAGGAACCCAGCACAGCCTGAGACACTCCGCTGCCCACCTGCTCCGTGCCAAGCCAGGGGCCAGCACACTGTGTATCAAGGGCCATCTGGTTAGTATTATAGGCTATAAAGCTCTATTGCCGGAGCACAACATCAGCCATCATAGCATGTAAGTGACTGAATGTGACTGTGTGCTTATAAAACTTTATTTAGAGAAACAGGCAGCCTCCCACACGCAAAGGCTGCTGGTCCCAACGTGTGCTTCGCTGGTCTTCTGTCATCATACATTCATTCTAGTCAAGGCACTGGTGGCAGTCGTAGAAGACAGCCAAGGACATTGTCATTGCTTAAAAGCTTGTGCAACAGTCACGCCCCATGAATTGGATTTCTTTAACACTTGTGGTTTGAGGATGAATCACAGCTTCCCACTGTCTGCAAGCAAGTTGTCTCTTGACAAAGGAAACGGCTCTTGGCAAGGCCTTTTTATGATAGTTCAGACTCACCAGCTATTCTTCTAGAACTAAATACCTTTATTATGTGTAATTAGGGCAACAACCAAGCTAAGATGCAAATGTGTTCTTCAGCCCCCTCCTTGCCGCAGCTGGGAGCTTTGTGACCTTTTCAAAGAGGAGGTTTGTACGGAAGCACACTTCACTCATGCTGAAATGGGGAAGAGAAACACAGGCCAGGGAAAGGAAGAGAAGGCTGAGATGCTCACAGGGTCACCTCCAGGCATTCAGCTCTGCTAGTGCTCACCGGCCAGGTAGCTCCCCCACAACCCTCTCTCCCCAAGTGATAAAGAACAAATGGTACAGGTTGCCAACTTTAGCTTTCACTGGCTTGCTCTTTCCTAGAATTTCTTCCATCCCTTTGCAGGGTGGGGCTGATGATTTAATGAGGCAAGGCAATAAAATAAGAAAAGGCTGGAGACAAGGGGGTTGATCATCTCCTTATCTTTTTGACAAGGAACGGAACCCCAAAATGTTATCTTCTAGGACTTTCTGCTATGTTGGAGATACTGGCGTGTTCCCTGAAGTCCACCCAGGCTAAGGAATAGAATAATTCTTCCTTCTCCACTTCTCCCTCTCCTCCTCTCGTCTTCTCCTCCTCTTCCCCAAGACAGGGTCTCATTATGCAGCCCTAGTTGTCCTAGAACTTTCAATATAGATGATACTAGCCCTGAACTCAGAGGTCCACCTGTCGCTGTGTCCCTGGTGCTGGGATTAAAGGTGGGGCAGTGTTGTGCCTGCGGGAGGTTGGCTGAGAGCTTAGGCTCCTGAGTCAGTGTGATGCTGGTCTCTAACCTGCCTTCCCACTCACCGTGAGCAGGTCAGCTCCTGATCGCCACTGATCCTCCGCTCCTCAGTGGCACTGAGGAGTGGGTGCCCACCTCGTGGAATAGCTATGAGAAGGAGGGCAGTCACTGGAGATGAAGGGCTCACCCAATGCTCTGTCCAGCCAGTGTCCCGGCTTTCTTCTCAGAGGGCCCTGTCCCATGCTGCAGAAACAGAAACCAGCCCCAGAGTGGTCTGCTCTGGTGTCTCCCACTGGGGTTTGCTTGCTTCAAAGTGACATTACCTAAAGGGACGTGAGGAGGGGACAAAGTAGGAGCAAAGAGAGACAAAGACCACCCACCAAACCTCCCTCTTCCTTTCAGACTTCTGCTAATTGGGTCTGTGGGCTGCTAGTTGCAGGCTCCACGCTAAGGAGCAGTCAGCCGAATTTCCAGGCTGGCTTACAGTTTTAGTGGTCATTAAAACGTTGATAAATGCGATCGGGAGATTCAGGATCATCAAGCAGGCCCAGGTCTTTTTGTTACTGCTGTTTGTTTGCCATTTGTCTTTTTGCTTTCTGGCCACTTCCTGTCTAGAGTGTGGACTCGGGTGACTGGAGTTCCAGCAGCTTTGAAGAGTCCTTGTGGTTAGGAGCACTACTAACGTAGACAAAGAAAAACAGTAAAGAGGCCTGGGCTTGTGAACACCACAAAATCAACAGCCCAGCCCAGGACCGCCCACCTCCAGATTTCTTTTATGAAAAATAAATCTCCGGCCCGCTTCCCGCTCCTATAAAGGCCGACGCCGCGCGGCGTTGCTGGAGTGGCCTTGTCCTCATTGTACATCATCTGTGGTCACCGACCGGCAGCCTCGGGTCCGCGGTCTTGAGACCGAGCACCATGCCTTCGATAAAGTTGCAGAGTTCTGATGGAGAGATATTTGAAGTTGATGTAGAAATTGCCAAACAATCTGTGACTATCAAGACCATGCTGGAAGATTTGGGAATGGATGATGAGGGAGATGATGATCCTGTTCCTTTACCAAATGTTAATGCAGCAATTCTAAAAAAGGTCATTCAGTGGTGCACCCATCACAAGGATGACCCTCCTCCTCCTGAGGATGATGAGAACAAAGAAAAACGGACAGATGATATTCCTGTTTGGGACCAAGAATTCCTGAAAGTTGACCAAGGAACACTTTTTGAACTTATTCTGGCTGCAAACTACTTAGACATCAAAGGTTTGCTTGATGTCACATGCAAGACTGTGGCCAATATGATTAAGGGGAAAACTCCTGAGGAGATTCGTAAAACCTTCAATATCAAAAATGACTTTACTGAAGAGGAAGAGGCCCAGGTACGCAAAGAGAACCAGTGGTGTGAAGAGAAGTGAAGTGCTGTGCCTGACACTGTAACACTAGAAGGGTTGTTCCGAATGCTAGTTGCACTGCTCTGTTTATAATTGTTAATAATAGAACAGTAGACAAACGCAGTCTCATCCTCACTGCATGTGTAATGTAGTTCCAGTACAGATCTGACCTATGGCTGAGTTTCTTCTAGGAGCAGAAGTTCTTTTTTGTTTTTTTCAGTATTCTGAATAAAACTGAACTTTGGGTTCTCTGTGGAAAGTGGCATTTTGGGCTTTCCCTCTTTCTGCAAAGTGATTTCTGCCTACTTCATTGTCCAGTTAACTTCAGTGAGCCTTTAAAAGTTGGCATTGTAAATAAAACATCTTATGAGAAGTATTCTGAAATAGAAAAAAAAAAAAAAAGAAAAATAAATCTCCACGTCATGGTGAAGACATCACGCCTTTTCTCGCTCACACCCACCAACTGTGAGCGAATTTTTTCCCAGGGGATGGTGAATCCACAATTCCAAGTTTTCCTGGCATAGATGGGGCGAAGCAAAGAGTGTGAGAAGAGCAGTCCCTGCTCCTGTATCCTGACTGCAAGGAGCCTCTAACCCCGGGAGCCACAGTGCGGGTCTTCTGCTTTCTCAATCTTCCCCTTCCGAGTTTTCGATTATTCTTCATTTATCAAGTCTGTTCATTGTCTTTTTTTCCCCCCATGGAAAAAAGATTTTTTTACCATTGGCTATATTTTTAAAGTTTTATTATTTTTAATTTTGTATAAGTGTGTGGGGTGGTGTATGTGAACTTGAGCGCAGGTAGCCACGGACCACCGGATCCCCCTGGAGCTTGAGTTACAGAGGTTTGTGTCCTACCTAACCTGGGTGCTGGGAGCCACCTTGGGTCCTCTGCAAAAGCATTAACTGCTTAGCCATCTCTTTGGTCCTGCCTTTGATTACCTTTTACCTCTTTGTTCCCTTGCCACTCCTCTCTTTCTTTCTCAGCTCTCTGGGACACGATCTTGCTACACAACTCAGGCCGACCTGAAGCCCCAGCTCCTCCTGCTTCCTCCTCTTCAGCTGATGACCAGTGGGTACCACCAAGGTGACTGTTTAGCTCATCAGGAAGACCCCCCTAGGGATGGAGAGATGGGTCAATGGTAAGAGCACCTGCTGCTCTTACAGAGGGCTGGCGTGGAGGAGGCTCACAACTGTCTGTCAGCTCAGCTTCAGGGTATCTAATGCCCCCTTCTGGCTTCCCAGGGTACCTGCAATCACGTGTACATAAGACACGCTTATACACCAAATTAAAAAGAAAACTATCCAACAGTCACTGAACATTTTTCACTCGGGGCACTGCCCAGCAGCAGACTGGGGTGCGGGGAGGGGGTGGAATTCTCCTAAGAGAAGAGATCCTGCTGTCCTGCCCTCCTGAATGTGGATGTGCGCATACCCACATCATAAGCTGCAAGGTTTCCCGCGGGGTTTGCTCCTGAGCAGAGAAGCCAAATGGTTCGGAACTGGCTCGGCTGTGCAGTAGTTTCCCATGTCCTGGAAGAGAGGTGACAGTCCATCGGACTCCCCTAATTCCTGAACGCGGTCCTGTTGACTCTGTATCTGGCTGCCCTCTCTCCTTTACATTCTTTCTGTTTACATCGGCTAAACTTGGTCTCCGTTGGCTGCAACCAAGAATCTGACTGGTTCAAACACGGAACCACACCGTTTTACCCGCAGTGCCTCATGGGGCTGACCTCATGGGAACCAGTTCATGAGATGGCGTCTGCATAAGCCTTAGCTTCCCGCATATTCGTTTCTCACTGAGCTTTAAAGACACTCGAGAGCAGCTTTCCTGCGGTTCTGTTCCTGGCATCGCAGACCCTAAGAACTGTTACCATTGTACTGTTACCATTGTACACTGGAGTCTCCAGAATTTGAAGCAACTTGGTCCATGTAGCTACCTAGCATCAGGAAGACCTTCCCAGGGAGGGTGGCTCGGCATTCATTCTTGCCGCACTTAGCCTACCGTGTCTTTGTGCAGGAGAGAGGATCAGTACATACGAGAATCCCAACTTAAAGAGCTGAGAGGGCCCAAGGGGTAACGATGCTTGCTGCACAGGCCTGATGATCTGTGTCTGATTTCAGATCCACGTAAAGGTAGGGGAAGAGAACGCATCCCACAGGCCGTCAGATGTCCCCCTGTGCACCATGGCCCTCAGACCGGACCTTATTAATAAAACAAATCTTTTAAGGTTCTATTCTAGAGGAGAGCTGGAGGAAAACAGAAAGGCCCAAGCAATGTGGAAACTTTGCTTTATTATACTAATTAACGGATGCTTTTTTCTTTTGGAGACAGGGGTCTTACTACATAACCCAGGCTCTCCTGGAACTCAAATCTTCCTGCCTCAGCCTCCCTAGTTTCAGGATTTTAGGAGACATTCAAATGCTAATGACAAACAGTTTGGCCATTAGAGCAGGAACTTGGAGAGGCCTTCCCTGCACCAGAGAAGTTAACCTCTGGGTCAGGGAGGAAACGTGAAGAGGCTCTTGCGGGGAGAAGGCAGATAGGGGAACTGAGCTGTGTCCTTTGTTTAGGGACTTCAGAACTTGTGAAAAAAAAATCACTGAGAATAGCATTCACTTTAAAAGGGATTCTTCATTTTGAAAACAGGGAGACATGTTTGTTTCGGGATGCAGGAACCGAGTGGGGTTGCTCATTTCTTACAATGTTAGTGTGGTATTATCCCATCTCATTCAGATTGGGGCATTTCCCTCTCTGGCTCTGAGGGCCCCCAAGGTTTTCCCTTCCCCCATCTAGTGACTCTAAGTAACAAACACTCCAAAACCATTCCGAAGGCACTTCTAATTGAAGGGACTCACCTGACAGAGATTCGGTTTGCCCACACTTTGAGTGTGCATCCATCTCTCGAAGCAGCATGCCGCAACAGAAGGATTAATTGCATTCATCCCACGGGGCGGGGGAACCAAAAACAAAAAGGGCAAATAATAGAGGAAGTGTGGTTAATTAATGCAGTAGGAACCGAAACACCGCAGGAGCAGACAAACACACACTCCTGGAATATGATACAATAAGCAGCTTCATTAGGGAGACAGTTTATGTGTCAGAAAGCGATAATAGCACGTGAGTGGGGGAAATGCTAAAATAAATTAGTCTGCAAGAAAACACTGATTCGAAAATATTTCACAATGATTGATTTGTAAGAACCCTCTCTACAGTCAACATCCATGGAACCCTGGCTTTAGGATACCTTAAAAAATAGGTCAGCCTGCCTGGACTGGACAGGTTTGGGTGAAAGTAAGTCACCTCTGTGGGAGAGAAGCCAGCAGGGTATTTTCAGCGTCTCCCCATTAGCTTATGATCTTAAGATTTTACTTATGCGGGCTTTCTGTGTCTGTCATTTTTCAAGACTGGTTAACTCGGTGGCTTTATTATTTCCCAGCCCCTTCCAATTCCCCGTGGGGCTCTAACTAAATCAGACCACATTTGGAGTCTGGTGTTGCTTTCTGGGCAGCACATTTAAAAGGGACGTTGGCCTGCTCTGCCTTCGGAGAACAGAGCCAAGACAAATGGCTAGAAGTTGCTTAGAGATATATTTTGACTTTATATAAGAAAATTATGTCCCTCCCCTCCATCCCCTCCAGCTTCCTGAAGCTCTCACAAAGCCAAGGTTGCTGTCTGAGGCAGTTTGCTCCCAGGGGCTGAAACACTAGAGCAGAGGGTGTGTGAACAGCTGCCAACGTCGAGCTGGAAGAGAATTTTTTTTTTTTTGTTCCCTCTGAAGTTTTCTTCCAGTTCTGACACTGTATGATTGATTGGTTGTCTGACGTCTCGGGGTATTTTACCAAGTCAACAATTCCTTTTTAGTTCTTTTATCCTGATGATTATCTTCACCTTTTCCTACAAAAAAAAAAAAGTTGGCAAAAATAATATAGAGTGACAATATCAGTTGTATCCGTCACTTCTCTTGTTGCTGTGACCAATTATCTGACACAGGCAACTTGAGGAAGGGTTTATTTTGGCTGTGTGATATAGTCCATCCTGTGAGGGAAGACAGGAGCGTGAGGTGGTTGGTCACATTGCACCCACCAACAGAGAGTCGAAAGCCAGTGTTCAGCTCCCTCCATTCCCCATGTTTATAAACTATGGGACCCCTGCTGTGGGATAATGCTCTTGTACCCTGTAAAGATTTGTCACTTGTATTGGTTTAGTAAATCTGATTGGCCAATAGCCAGGCAGGAAGTATAGGTGGGCCAACCAGATTAGGAGAATTCTGGGAAGAGGACCGGCTCAGTCTGCAGTCACCACCCAGACGCGGAGGAAGCCAGATGGAAATGCTGCACCGAGAAAAGGTACCAAGCCACATGGCTAATCATAGATAGGAATTATGGGTTAATTTAATTTGTAAGAGGTAGTTAGTAATAAGCCTGAGCTAATAGGCCAAACAGTTTATAATTAATATAAGCCTCTGTATGTTTCTTTGGGACTGAATGGCTGTGGAACAAGGCAGGACAGAAACTCCTGTCTACAGACCCTAGTTGATGAGACAGTGCCACCTACATCTGGGGCTTGTGTTGTCCTTCTTCAGTTATACCTACTCTCTGGTAATGCCCTCAGGGTCACACCCAGAAGTGTACCTTCTAGGCAGTACTACATCCATTGAGCTTGACAGTGGAGATCAACCATCACCCCTCCCATGCTGCTTAGTAACTGGGCTTGGCCTCAGGCCTGCTGGTCCTGGAAGCTGCTCACCCTCCCACTCTACTTTGCATTTCGACCCCATCCTTTGTTCTCCTGCTTCCAGCCCCACTGACCTTAGCCCCCCTTTGCCTTGGTCTTCTTGTTATTGCTTGGGCCAGTGCTTGCCTTGGCCTAGAGGAGGCTCGTATGCCCGCTCCCCCACATCTCAGACTGGCATCTCCTTAGAGAGAGACCCCTTGTTGCTGCTGACAAGATCATATCTGCCTATTGTTATCTTTTCTTTTGTAATGTAATGAAAAAGAAAAGAAAATGAAAAAGGTAATGTAATGTAATGAAAAGGGTGGGTCGCCCTGACGATATAGTTAAATCTACTCCTAAGATTCTCTAGCAGGAAGTAGGTGTCGGAGAAGGTGTTCAGGCTGCTGGAGTGAGTTAGAAGGGAAAGCACTCACGCTGAATGCCATGCACCCTGGGTGGGTGCCTCTTGCCCTATCACAGATGGGCCTCCTGCTGTCTTGAAAAGCATGCCTTGGCCACTTGTCAAAACTCTGGTCATTCACCAAA